CATTCCTGCAGTTTAACTAATTGGTGTGTGTTATCTGGCTTCATGGATAGATAAGGTTGGGTGTCATCTGCACAGCAATGAAAATGTTTCCTATGCTTTCTGATGATACTGCCTAAAGGAAGCATGTATAATGTAATTCTCCCAGGAATCTCAGTGTTGTTACAGGGGAGGTGCATGCTCTTTTAAAGCATCTGTGTTAGGAGAAGGGTTGCCTGCTGAATTGTTGGCTGTTTGCTCAAATGCTGCTTTTCTTAGTCCTGCACTAAGGATGCAGAGTGCTGTGGCGAACAGCTCTGTGTGTGGGGCCAGTGCAGCCAAAATGCAACCAAGGGAGAGGCCGGAAGCACTTGTCAATACCAGACTGACTGCAGCCCAGACCTCTGCTGTGCTTTCCATAATGGTATGTAGTACAGCATGTGTTTATCAGTCACTACCTACACACCCCCAGAGAACTTACCTTTGTTTTTGTTTTGTGTGATTAGTCCTCCTCTTCCCCGTCTGTTCGGCCAAGCCTATTGAACGTGAGCGCTGCTTTGGTGCCTCAAACCACCTGACTGAGTTGTTGTCCTGGGGCCCGCAAGATGAGGGACCCAGGAAATATTGCCCCTGTGCAGGAGATCTCCACTGTCAAGACCTGGGGTGAGTGCAGTACATATAATCACATAAAACAGATTAAAATACCGGTACCCCAAAAATATTAAAGTTTTATGTATGTATGATGCTGTAGTATTCTCTTTTTTTTTCCTCCACAGAAGAGGGTCAATGTGCCTGAAAGGAGAGGACTCGAGTGAAGAAGACCTGACAGACACGCTGTACTCAGAGATAGACTACATACTTTAGGCTGGGCACGATTTATTAACATTGCCTTGTAAAAAGCTAGACAGACTTCTGAGCTTTTTTCTTTTTTCTTTGCAAAGAGCACTTTCTATTTGCCGGCTTCAGTCAAAGCAGTAAATATTTAGGGCATGGGAAATGGATGGCAGTATATGTAGTGCTAGTTGTGTCATCGGCATGTTGTTTGATGATTCTTTAATCTTTGTAAGGGAATTCTGGGCAAGAGGCACTTGAAGACAGCCACTTTGTAAAACACCTACTTGGCAAGTCCTTTGATGCAGCTTCATTTCTTTGTTGTTGCAGTCATCACAGTGGGGTGATGAAGTGCCTGCCCCCGTTTTCCTGGCATGGCTCATGTCCCCTTGGATTGTCGGGTTGCTCAAAATCAATATGAATTTGTTTGGTGTAATCTCCTTTATCCTAGGATGAAACATGTCCACCATGATGGAAGTGGTTCTCTTCCAAGATTACATAATTACTGTTCATAGTTTACAGGGGGAAGGCTAAAATATGAAAATGATGTGAATCAGATGCAGTGGCCTCTGCAGTCTCCAGACTGTGGGAGATTTTGAACCGTCACTTCAACAAGGA